CTCTCCACAGTTCCAAAAACGTTTCTGGGTAGCAGCCTTTCCTGTTGTGGCATCTTTCCTGTGTTGAAGTTGCCTGCATTGAGCTCTTTTGTGCCCAGGTTTGTTACAGAGCCAGCAAAGTCCCTCAAATTTCTCCAGAAGCTGCCCTCTTCTGGCCTTGAATCCACTGTACCAATTCAAGAACTCTGGCCAATGCATCCTGCATAATCGAGGGATGTGCTTGCTTCACTTGTATCTTAAGTTGTGGACTGTCCAAGGCGTCTACAAACTTACCCCTCAGCAACAGCTTGAGGACATCGGGTGGTGCAGTTGGGTAGGCCTTGTGTGCCATACTTTCCAAATCATGTGCCAGCTCTTGCAGGCTCTCTCCTTTAGCACGGACTCTAGTCCTAAGCCTAGCCCTGTAGACTTCGGACTGATTTCGAGTTCCAGACCTGATTTCTACAGCAGCTACCAGTGCTCTATAGTTGTACCTGTCGTCTGCTGACAACTGTCCAAGTATTTCCAGTGGTTGTCCCTTCAGGCTCGTTGCGAGGTACACTGCTTTCTGCTCCTCTGTCCATCCATTTATTTCTGCCAGTAGCTCAAATTGTGCTCTATATGCTTCCCATGGTGCCTTATCATCGAATTCCTGTGGCTTCCCTCGTGCTGGATCACCACTATTGCTGACACTCATGTCTGGAATGTGACCTGTGGCAGGACTGCAGATGTCTGCATTAGGGTTTAGCTGCAGGGTCTGGAAGGGACTTCCCTTTGTCTGGGGCTGATTATGTCCATGGTTAATATATCCTCACTGTGTAAAAGATAGTAAATCATCCTTTAATGTATCTAATTTACTTTGAAATTCACTAATATTTTCCATTTGTACTTTTTGTTTCCTTTCTTGTTCCAGTTGCCACTAGTGCTGGTTTTCTTTCCACTGCTGTAGTCTTTCTTCTTGTTTATTTTCTTTCTCCTCCAACCACTGCTGTAGTCTCCCTTCTTGTTTCTTTTCTTTCTCCTCCAACCACTGCTGTAGCCTCTCTTCTTGTTTCTTTTCTTTCTCCCCAACCACTGCTGTAGTCTTTCTTCTTCTTTATTTTCTTGTTCTTCTTGTTTCTTTCTTTTTTGCTCCAACAACTGCTGTAGTCTCTCTTCTTGTTTATTTTCTTTTTCCTCCAACCACTGCTGTAGTCTCTCTGCTTGTTTCTTTTCTTTCTCCTCCAACCACTGCTGTAGTC